ACTGATAGTCAGCAGAATGTTTTATGAAAGCATGTTCTTTTTACACTGGCTCCCCTTGTTCAGTATATAATGTTCCTTGTCTTGGCACAACATTTGAGAGTGAGTGCAGGTATTTTCCTTATTGTCTGTGAAGCAAAAGGAAGGAAGGGAAACAAATTGTTTGCAAAGAAAAGAATATCATTCATTCTAAACTTATCTTCACAGACAACATGCATCTTATTTGTAAGAAAAGTGTTAGTCATCTCTTAAAATTTACCCTCAATTTAACATTCTCTTCTGTTGCAGATCGGACACTGAGTCTGTTGTACAGCGGTGCTAAGAATGTGATGAACAACAATACAGTGGAGCGAATGGAGACAGGTTTTGAAGTGCAGAAGGTGAAAGCTGCCAACACGCTCCACCAGATGTGCCTCACTGCTCAAGGAACCCTTGCTAGACCTCAACCATTTTCCAAGGTGGGCTGATCTCTTCCTGTATGTTTGAAAGGAGAACATGATTTCTGTGACAGTATACCTTTTTTGTTTGAAATGAGCAACAGGGTTTCTTTGATTTTACTTTTTTCTGTTTGAAATAAGATCATGGTCTGATGTTAAGAGTACTCTTTTCTGTTTGAAACAAAGACAGAAAGTGTATAAAGGGAATCTTCTCACCTTTCGAAAAAGGACCCAAAGATTTGTTTTTAGTTTACTACTTTTGAAGTTGTGGAATTTGAGTAATATGTGTATGTAAGGAATGTATTAATAGAAAAAGATTAACAGAATTCTAAGGTATTTGATAAACCAGAAAGATTTTTTTTTTTCTTGTATTAGCTACAGGATATATAATATGATATATAATTGAGATCCTTTTACTGTTAGGGGTATTTATTTCCCAGCAGGTTGGCAGCTTTTTTTTTTTTTTTTTTTTCCCCCAAGTTTGAATTCACAAGAAATGGAAAGATATATAATTTGACATTCATATTAGAGTACATTATAACAACAGTGTGCATAGGGGTTCCTCTGAAACCAACGGAGTAGATGCGTGCACTATCGACTGTGGCTTTGTTTTATTTTTATTTTTTTATGACAGATAAGTGTACAAGCATTCGACAACCAAAGATTCAGGTGCTAAGCCTACCCAATCTATTGTTTACCCCTTTCCATGAATATTGATAAACCAAATATTTTATTTATATTTGTTATTATTATCATCATTAGTATTAAGTAAGTAACATTAATAACCAATATTAATGTTATCATCATTATTATCATTTCAATAACATTAACAATAGACAGAAATATGCTTTTCTTCCCTTAAATTCATACAATGGGGTGAATATATCAGATAGACCTAGCCGTTGACTAATTATTGACTAAATGCTAAACAAAATTAATTATGATCATTAGTTCTTGTACAATTGCACTCATCAAGAAGCTGTGGTAGCCTACTGTGGCCCCTAGCTAAAGAGCATGAGTAGAATCAGGCAATATGTCTGTTTTGAAATAATTTTCCACCATCACCACATACAAATAAAGTGGTAGTAACGTGTGGCGAGGCACTGCCTGGTATGGAATTATAGGTAAATTAAGGAGTATCTGTGGTATTCACTGGAGGATAGGTGCACATTATTTAAGTGAAAGATGGCCATTATTAGGCCACTTTCCCATAATAAATTTGCCCGTAATAAATCTGACTCATAAACAAAGTGGCATAATAGGCAGAGGTAGTGTGTGTAGAGTGCGATTAATGTTTTTCTTTCTATAAAAAAACCTGTTTGTATTGTTAATAACATTTGCAAGTCAATTAGTCAATCGGGTATATGATGTCAGTTTTTAGATCTCATATTATTTCTTTTTCTTTCTTTCTTTCTTTTCTTTCTTTCTTTCTTCTGAAAAAGCTTTACCCCACTGTATGTGTTTATCAGCTTACGAGAATTTAGATTTTTAAAGAAATCAAGGAAGGAAGAAAAATTGACATTATAACCAAGGTAAAAACAAACCATAATTTTCCCTTAAATTTTAATGACATTTGCTGTTTATTTTGTTAATGAATTGATTATTACATTCACAGAATATGGAGATGCAACCAAAGAACAGAAGCTCATGTGGTCACAGTCCAAATATACTGCTGTCTGTTATACCTTCGTGCAGTTACTGTGAAAGCCAACTGTGTGATTCATGCATTAAGTCTTGTCACTTCTGCCAAGGAATATTCTGTCCAAAGTGTTCATTAACTGTGTAAGTACTAATGGAGTATAATCCTTTTTCAGTAATAGTGAATTGTAGTGATGTATTCTTATATGATTTGCTTTTATTATCAGAAGTATAATAGTGTGAGTCCTATAAGCCTAGAGATAGACAATTATCAGGAAGGAGAGTGAATGTTTAGTGTAAGAACTTTAAGATTTGTTAGGAAGTGTAGATATGTGAGACTGTTGAAATGTTAATATATTATTGCCTTGTAGTATCTACAGTACACCTAGAGGTATTCAGGATGTTTTATTAATTAGTTGTATTTTGTTTGCGCTTGTTGTGCACTGAAGAATAAGGTTCTTAGATGCATAATTTCTGCTTAATAAGTGACATACCAAATTGTGGGCTTTGTCACTTTTTAATCTGTTAGACCTTATGTATAGCTGCCATTTTCCTTTAGCAATATTAGAGTAGGGTTGATAATTCGGTGAATAGATTTTTAGATAGTTTAAACATACTATATAGGATGTGATTCCCTAAAAATATTAGAGAATAACAATTACACCTCAAAGCTCATCCTCGGGGAAACAAGGTACAAGTTTTTCTTTTAAAAGTAAGTTTGTGTGTGTGTGTCTGTGTCTGTGTGTGTTTCTGTTTTTGTTGTAAAGAGTAGAAATAAATCAGAATGGACAATATTGGATGGTATAATAGTTATTGGGTTATTTTCTCTTCTTTCCCTTTCTTTTTATTACTAACAGACCCAGATTATGAATGTGTCAAAGTATTTAATATAGTTGGCACAAAGCTACTAGTTAAGATCAGTGGCACAAAGCTACTAGGTAGTGTTAGAGTGAAGGTGTTGGGGGACAGTGAATATGTGAATAATTTATGATTTTTTTTTTTAATAGTCTTAATTTGATTATTGTAGAGAAAGAGGATGCCATATTAACCTAACAATGGAGTTAATTTTCCTGCACTGAACAGACCATCCACCAGGGTGTGCTTGTAGCCAGCTGCTCAATCTACAACTTAAAAGAGAAGGCAAAATATGTTTACCCCACTTTGTGACCATTTAATTTTCTAGTAACAAAGGCTCAAACAAGGCTTTCGTTATGGCAAGATTAGATGTTGAATGTCAACATAGGGTTCAAATCGATTGGATGGAAATGTTTTACTTAGTCTGAATATTCGTCAAACTCACTTTTGACCAAGGTGGATCTTGCTGCCTTTGTCTAAATGCCATATATAGAGAGAGATGAATAGATATAGATATTGTATATTTAAGGGTCAAGAACACTTCAAAGTGGGCAGATAGATTAGGATTTTAAATATGGAGACTTGAAAATTGTGTGTATAAATGTAAAGTTTAATAATGGAAGTGAATGATAACCCCTGTACTGTAGTTCATTTGTGTTTCAAGCTACAACTAAGAGAAAAATATCAAGGACTTGTTTGCCTTTTTTTCTGTAATTAGTTATTTTTCTTGATTTCAGTCATTACTAACATTTATCTTCAGCAGTATTTATTTGTTTGCAGATTATAAATATAATGTTCTGGTGTATGGATGCTTTAAAAATCTGTTCTAACATGAGGTTGGGTGAAGCTAAAAATTGTGATTTGTATTGTTTGGCTGTGAATTAGTTTCACTTTCGAAGTACTTTATTAGTTACCACAGTAACACTTTTATTTTTTCATTGTTGCAGATACCAAGAAGAAGAAAAGGTTTTGTGTCTCAGCTGCTGTTGAAGTACTCTCCTGGGTTACAATTGTATTGATAGAAATATGTAATTATTTTGTTTTTATTATGTACCTGTGACTTCCCAGATTTCATGTGATAACATTTGTACTTGTGAATGCTTTAAAGTATTTTGTCTGAAGAGATAATTACTATGAATTTGATCTGCGAGTCCTTTTCCATTGCCGTTTGTTTTAGTTGATGTTTGTAGATTACTTCGGTTGATTGTATTTTAATCCTCAGGGTACAGAACTTGCATGTGTCATTATGTGGTTGATTAAGAAAGAGAACATTTATTAGAGTGAATACGCGTAGTAATCTTTTAGACATTAATAAATATTAAAATGCATTATTTTTTGGCTGTATTCTTAACCTATGTATTACTTTTATTGTGTGGAAGTAACAGTTTTTCTAGTAAATTATGAAATATATCATGAGTAAAATTTGAATAAATTTTTTTTAAAAGTGTATGATGAAAAAATACATTAATAAGATATTAAGTTTCTAGCTTAAAATTATCTTCTTTTTTTTGTACATACATAGGCCCACATAGACTACTCATGTATGAAAAAGAAAACAACTTTCCAGTTTATTTTTATTAAAATATACTGATACAGAAACAAAAAGAATAGAAATAAAATAAGGCATTTTCATAAAATGGATCATTAATAAATAACGAAGTTTACAATGCCAATTACTTTGGGTTTATTAATACTTCAGGCTTATTTGATTTAGTATTTACTTAAGACATGATATCGCTCTATATAAAAAATATAACTCCAGGGACAAAACTATTACCGCAACAGTATTATTCCTTAAAAACCTAACACAAAATCTTTATAATTTAATTTATGAATTGCATGTAAGTAGTAACATTCCATTTACTTGTACATAAAATATGAAGCATATTTGAATAACTACACTCTTGTGCTCAATATCTCTTTGGATTAATGTTGAACACACTGCTATTCATGATAAAATACCTGAGTATTCTCTGCCTAACCCTTAATTCTCAATCCAAAGAAATGTCCACGGCCAAGTGAATGAACTGCAGGAATTACAGATATATTCTAATAATACTGATACTATTTGTACAAAAAACTAATTTTTTGACAAATAAAATTTAGATTATCCTGTGTGTAAGGATAAAATATGCACAAATTTTTATTTTATTTTCTTTTTAACTATATTCAGACTTCAACACTACTGCAATTCCAAACAAGCAGAAAATCACCGCACTACAACTTTGTTCTATGCACGGGTTACAGTACATAAAAATATAAATAAAAATGTGTTCACAGTCTCAAATGCATACCCACTTTGTTCCAAAATCTGTGGACAAAAACATGATCTTCAATATTACAGTGTGTTTGCTTTCACATAACCACACCTTTAACAATTACAAGTACAGTGATTGCAACCACAGATCTTTGTTGCTGTTCCTTTCTTCAGAAATAGACACCTATGAATTATATAACATAACATCCACCGTTAAAGTACAGTATGATATCAGTAATTAGACTACTCATAGTTGTAGTAGTAGAAGTAGTAGCTGTGTTCAACAAAGATGAACTGCTTGTGACTATTATGATGACTCGTGACTGACACTTAGCTGCCAAGCACTGGACATTTCACCTATGGATATTCGAGGCTGAATGAACATATCCAAATACGTATATGACAACCCTGGTTTTAATAGTTTGTTTAACCAGAAAATTACACTATCCACAAGACAAGCTCATTGGAAAATGACAAAAGTCTTGAATTCCGAAGCATCTCTCATTGAGTCAGTAAATAATTATCAAGAACAAAGATTTAATACCATAAAACCAAAGTGATATCAACAAAATAAATAAATAGTTAAAAACAATAATAATGCTGTCCATAAACCCATTTATCCTTTTGGTGAAATATTAGCCACTAAAACATCCATTCAGTTGTTGGCCAAAAGTTCATCAGTTATCTGTTCAGTCAACATGTCCACAATACCTGCCAATCTTACATAATATTAACTTTCATTCCTGACTATAGACACCCTGTGGACTAGCTACCTAATTGAACTGACTTTTTATTTACTATTTAAAGCTCATTATTGCCTTGTATCCAATTTAAGCATCTTTTCTTTTATTCTAACCCATTAGCAGCACCTCAGGTAATATTACAAATTCACAGGAGAGCTAGGTCATATATATTTTTATATGTATTTGTATTTCTTAATTTCTTTTGAATAGCAATCCAGAAACTATAGCCTGTGGCAGCCCTTGACCATTCATTCATGCTGTTGTGGGGATACTCCTCCACCTCCATTGTGCACAGCAAACATCATTTACTCTTTTAGTTTGTTTTTAATAGCCATACTTACAACATAAGTGGTTCATTGAATTATTTATTTCAAAAGGTGTTCATCCATTCATTAAAATGTTTTTTTTAATTTTGATGTTGATATTCTTTCCTTATGCTGATTCTCCTACTGATATCAACAATTATAATGGTATTACCATGAGCACCACAACTACTATTACTTATAATAAAATAATGACACTGGAATTACTAGTAATTGCTTGTTACTGCTGTTACTATCAATGCAGATAAATACATATAAAGAGTAGGCAAAAATAAGTTGAATTACTTTATATTAACAATCATTGGAAATTCTTTATCACATGAGTAACACGAAACTACTACAAAAGTCTTGCTCCACAAGACATATAGTAGTAATAATAGTAGTAGCAATAGAAGTAATGACAGGTAGTAGAAACTCTTGAAACAAAACAAACACATAGTAGTAAATAATTACTTGACAAGGTACAAATACCGTGTCTGCGATCCTGCATCCAAACTAAATTGAGTGGCAGACACATTTTCTTTTTCCAAAAGTGATTGGTTTATTCAGAACACTCCATTTAGTTTCTGGTTTTCCACAAAATGTGCACAATTTACAGGTTATGCCTTTTTCTACTTGCTAATGAAACAAAACAAAAAGACTGGCTACTGCACCAAGTTAGCACATTAACAGCACAGCATGCTTTTCTTTCAGATTTTGTTGCATATGCAGTTAATTCAGTAATGAGTGGACCATGGTTTTGTCAATAATGACCAACTCCATTCCTTTCACTTGCTCATATATGACTATTTTTATAAAAATACATTGGTCTATTTCTGAAAAATGTCTTTACTTGTTCAAAGCAATGCATTACACTATCTTTTAAGTAGAACACACAGAAATATCGAGAATGACAAACAGTGGAATGAGCTTTTGCAAGTTTTAAACACAAAATGGTCCAAAGTAAAATAGTTCCTTAAAAATCTAAAAAGCTGCTTTAAACAATATAAATTGCACTATCAACTCAACACACCAAACAAGCAGCTTTCTAATGCACTTCTGGTTCAATATTTAAAACAAAACACAAACACATAATAACAATAATCATTATCATAATACATATTTCTTTAAAACTTTCTGAACTATTACGACTAGCAAAATAGCATGGAATCCTACAAACCCATACGATACCCTTGCTGAGGAATTATTCGCAAACCAAGTACTCCAAAACCCAAGTAAAGTGGCAACCATACCTAAACTAAATGTCAGCA